CAACACTCAGAGCGCACTCACACATGCAGACACACACGCAGAGACACACAACACGCGGAGCGCGCACGCCCTGAAACACGCAGCGTGCGCGCGCGCACACACACACAACACTCAGAGCGCGTGCGCACACACACACACATACACATGCGCACACAATACTCAGAGCGCACGCACACACGCACACATACACACATGCTCGCACACACACAACACTCGGAGCGCACACGCAGCCCCCCAGCAGGGCCTGCAACACCGCCCGTCTCCCAGTGCCCTGCAGACGCCCCGCTGCCCCCAGAACCCACTGGGCGCGTGGCGGGGCCCTGGGCAAGAGCAGCACCTGCAGGTGAACCCCGTGACTGCTGCCGGCTCCCCGACTGCTCTGCGGGCCACTCTGTGGTCCGGGGGGGGGGGCTTGTTGGTAGGGGACACCCCCTTCCCAGACCCCGGGCTGCCCCCACGTACCTGCTGATGGGCTCAGTTCAGCCTGGGGCCCGTGCGGGGTCATTGCTGGGTTAATGGGGATCCCGCCCCCCCCAGCAGCGCTGGGGCCTCTGCAAGGCGATGGAGTGTGGTACCTGCCCCCCTCATCTGAAAGGGCCTCCCAGCTGCTTCCCCCCCCCCCATGTCACGTCACCCCCCAGCCCTGCCGGGGGAGGGGGCAGCTCAGTTTAGTGGTTAGAGCCAGGACGCCTGGGTTCTCTGCCCACTCCAGGAGGGGCCTGGGGGCTCAGCGCTGAGCCTGCCACACGGGGTACGGAGGAATGAACACGCTGAAGGGGGGTCAGGGCTCAGGCCCCCCCAGGCTTTACGCAGGGACCCCCCCCATCGCCCCGAGAGATGCTGCAAGTGCACAAATTACAAGGTTTGGCACAACGTGCTGCAGCCCACGCCGGCTCCGAGCGAAACCTAGCAACCAGGCGCCGGCATGGCAACGGGCCCCAGCCGGGCTCCAGCTCTGCCCAGGGGCCTGGGGGGGGCTCTGCCGAGGGGATGTGTGTGGGGGGCGACGAGTCGGGCTGGGGGCTTGTCCCTCTGGGTAGAGCAGCTGAGGGGCGGCTCTGATCTGCCCTGTCCGGGGTGTGCATTGGTGATGAGGGTCCCTGACCGAGAACCCAAGCGACCGGGACGGGCTCAGGGCTCTCACCCGGGCCAGAGCAGGCGCCGGCCCCCAGGGCAGGAAGGTCCCAGGCCGCGCCCAGTGCTGGAGACGTGCCCACCCCTCAGCCCACCCCCAGTAGTGCCCCCTGTGACCTGGCTGCCTGGTTCCGTCGCTCGCTGGGCGCTGGCCTGGGCTGGAGCCGGAGCCGGAGCCGCGGCCTGGCCAGGGAGCTCCCTGCGCCTTCACCCCTCCTGCCCGCGCGGCTCCCGGACCCCGACCCCGGCCCCGGCCGGCCGGCAGCACTGACAGGAGCAGGCGGCTCCGGGTGTTATTACACAGCCCCCCCATGTCCCTCGCAGCCTCCCACCCGGCCGGGAATGTGCCTGGCTCAGCACCGCCCGGGGAGGCGCCAGGGCTGTCGAAGCCTCGCCAATGGCAGGGGAGCCGGGGCACGAGATGGGCGAGGACTGGGGGGGATGAAAGCGGTGGGTCACCCACCCCCCAAGTGCCCCATCCTGCAGCTGGCACCTTGCTCCCTCCCCGCCCTCCCTGCAGCCTGCAGCTGGCACCCCGTGCCCCCCCATCCTGCAGCCGGCACCTTGCACCCTCCCCACCCTGCAGCCGTCACCCACTCCCCACC